ATAAGTTAGGCTACCCGCAGGGGTGTCGTAGTGTGTGCGCAAGAGATCCTGCAACGCCCCATTGCACTGCGGCGGGTTCCGCTGTGGGTTTTAGTGAGTAGGAGTCTTACAGCACCCTGCCCGTTGACGGCCGGCAGGATCCCCTTGATGGGTTTCTCCAGCGAAAAAAAACTTGTAGGTAAGTACTTATCACGTGTGCTATGTTTACTATTTTTGTATGTGGTGGGTAAAACCAATACACATCATTAGGTCATCGTTAATATAATGCATTACCTTTGCAGAAGGCTGCGGGTTTAATTTTGTAATAAATGTCGAAAATGATTGACCCGACGACGTTTTATATAAATCGGATTAGTTTGCCACAAGGAAAATAAAGAGAGGAATAATTACTATCTCATCAAAAACATACCATGTAAAAAATGCAAATCTCACAACGCAGTTCTTCTACTGCAAAAAGTTCTGAGTTCTAATGTAAAACCAAAACGGTTAATTTGTTCAGTACCCATCTATGGAAGCATCTATCCAACAACTTTATCATAAATTGTTACCTACTTAGTTAAATAACAACATTTTATAGTGACCGTATCAGATAGATATGTATATATCTATAAATAGATATCTTTATCTCTTTGATAAATAGATTTGCCACAAATAAAAGAAGGAAAGGAATAATTACTATGTTCTATTTTCCTGACGTACTAACTACGTGAATACTAGCGACTCACCCTAGCTTCGCTCGGGTTCGTCCCTAGGTTGCTTCCCCATACAATCTTTCATTCCCATTTTCACCTTCTTAAGGAATGATTTCCGGGATAAAAACTATCCTATGTCCTTCCCAGGGTCTCACACTATCTTCTTACCAAATTTCATTTAAATCGGTTAAGTACTTTCGGAGCTTATTCGGGACAAACAGACAAATAAATAAACAAAAAACTTTTCTCTTTATAATATTAGTATAGATTAGTTTAATAGCTCACTTTAATAAAAATATGCAAATAATATATTAATAAGCTTAAAATGCCAAGAGAATAAATTGTACACCTTGAGATGTGTATTTAATTTATTGGTATATTTGTTTGTTGTTGTTAAAGTCGTTGTAAAGAAAAAAATAAAAAATCAAGGTTTTTTTATATGGTGCAGCTAAATATTTTTAATGTAAAATAACAATACTCTTTGCATTTAAAATGGAACGGTACATCATTATTCAGTATAATTATAAATAAATTATTCAGTTTTTTCACTTTTGAATAATAAAAACGACTAGAGTTACGATTTTTAGGCTTCTATCATTTCCAACTTAATTTACAAAGAGACATACCGACCTATATTATATAAAACAATTGACAATATATTATTTCTTTGCAATAAGGAAAAGGTACGATCTCATCAAAAACTAGTTTTATATACAAGTGCATATAGGTACGTAATAAATTGAGCATTCCCCGTTTTCTCCGTTTATGGCATCCGATGGATCGCGGAATCGCACTTTCCTCGTGATGTGGTCAAGCCATTTCTTATATAACTTTACATTTGTATTGTGTTTTACATGTGGCTATAGCAAAAACTTATTAATTATTTAATATATTTATAGTATGTAATATAAAAAAATACAAAGAGAATACATAACTGTTGAGGAGTTAAAATTGATAATTTTAAAAGGAGAAAACATTGGTAATCACTGAATCGATTATGATAACTGTTTATTTAATTGGAGGGTATGGTTTCTCTTAATGACATAGCGCTTCATCTCGGTGTTTAATGGTTCCTATCTATACTAATATTATAAAGAGGTAAAGTTTGTGAGTTTGTGACGTTGTAGGGGGTAATCTCTGGATCTACTGAACCGATTTAGATGAAATTTAGTAAGAAGATAGTTTGAGACCCTGGGAAGGACATAGGATACTTTTTATCCCGAAAATCATCCCTTAAGGGGGTGAAAATGGGGATGAAAGTTTGTATGGGGAATCAAGCTAGGGGCGAACCCGAGCGAAGCGAGGGTGAGTCGCTAGTATAAAATAAGCGTCTTATAAATAAATTACTTAACGACTTGCGAAGTGAAGTTGATGCTACTAAGCAAAGCGAGAAATGTATTTAGTTAGGCTATCTCAGACATACATACATCCTTCGTTCCTCCTCACCGTATTAGTATCATCAATGTCAAAGGTGCGAGAGCATTACCATTGGTATAGTACTGTTATTTATTATTAACTATTTATTTTAAAAGGAAACAATTTGTTATAAACCTATCAAATTCTACTACTAAGAGTTAGTTTAAGTGCATTGGCCATGGATAAGATACCAGTTATTAGAAAGGGCATTATGTAACATTTCATTAGGTAAGTCCTCTTATCGGTTAAACTTTTTCATTTAGATTTATTGTTAAATTTTGATGTATTATGAAAATAACTATACATATGTATTTAATATTTTATCCAATATATAAGAAAAACAGTTAGTGTAAAGTGATATGGTTAGGATGATCAGAGTACAGTTTGTTTGTTAAGTCACTCAATTTGAACTAAATATGTACTTAATCAATCAAATCAAAACAATATGTACTTCAATATCCCACATTATTTTAAGCCAAAGGACAGATCACACAACTAACTTACTTAAAGACAGGTAGTTTCCCACGATCGTACCTTAGATTTCCTTATTACAAATGACTAATGACTGCTCGCCTCACCACTAATTACGCATTTGCCACTATATACTCAAGTAAATACACGAGTATTCTAAAGAAATTGCGAATTTCATATTTAATCCCTCAACGACCGCGAACACGCCGGCGTTACAGTTAACAATAGATTTCTTAGAAATTTCATTAATTTCTTAGAAATTTACCTGGAGGCGCTTATTTGTACGCGTAATTGTTTTTGCTGTTTATATAATTTTAAATTTATGTTAAAGGGTTAATTTATTAGTATTTACTCTCTAGTCTCTACCATATAAGCAGGAGTAGAATCTAAAACTTTTATAAAAACACCGTCTTACCGTATATCGTACTTCTTAAAGACGCCGTCTTTATAAACGTTTTAATTTTTGTTTGTTTGTTATTTAACGGGCCAGTTGAGTTCAATTTGCTTCGGCTTTGTTACGTATAATGGAGAAGACGCGGTAGAGATTGATCCGCAAACAAAGATTCTTATACTTTATCTAGACAAAAAGTAATATGGAAATAATCAATAAATCTGTCATTATTTATTACTTACTGTATTTCTCGATATTTTTTACTGATCTAACAAAGAAAGAGGTACCTATTTAATTCGGGAGTATATCCTTTATTATGTGTTCTTTACGAATTGAAAACCAACTGTCCTAATGTTTTAAATGATTTGTTTAATGGTGATACCATATAAATTTGAACTAAATAACTGCTCCTACGAGCGGAATAAATACTTTTAAATGAAAGTGTATCTTTTTGGTCTAATGTTAAATTATTGGCAATATTTTATTGGTAACCACTGATGTCATGTAAGCTTAAAAATATTTTCTACGATGTACGAAAATTACTCGTATAAATTAATTTTAATAGATAACATTATGTATTTATTTATGCATAAGTATGCAGAAAAAATGAAAAAGTTTAACAGTTATGTTTAATAGTTATGGGATAGCGATATTAATGCGACGAACGTACGCAGCACAGTGTTTCCCTTCATTGAATTGGTAATAAGTTAATTGTTATCGTATCCGGCCAGCATTCGACAACAGGAAAGTCGACTAGACGCAAATAACACAAGTTCCCAGATTACGTTATTTATAGAATGCCGATAGCTAGCAAGTAGCAGCCTTTTAAATATGTGCGAGTTCGGGGAATCCTAATCTTGGGAATATAATGAATATTTTATGTAGATTTCTTTATTCTGATATAATCTTAACGATCAAGATGTCATACTGAATTTAAAAAAAGTCCAACGTAAACAAGATATTTAGCAATACCCGCACATTTTCATTTGCAAATGATATAAAAAGCTCGATTTTATTTAGTTTTTCGTATTGCAGTACAAAACAGGCTCTAAGTAGTTTTTATTTCAAGTGAAGTCAATATTATAGAACTGATCAATTCGTAACTAAATGGGAAGTCAATAAATTAAATACAATATTGATGAAGCGAGATGGTCGAGTGGCACACATACCCAGTGCCGGTGTTTGCGCAACTGTTAGGTAATGTCCGTTCACATTTTAAAATCAACCAAAACAATCAAACCTTCTTCCAGTCACGCTTTGTTTAAAATTTTTGTATAATTTGTGTTTACTTATAATGATTTTCTTTTAAATTAATGTTACCCCTTATCAAAATGAGCTATAAATCTAAAGAAAACTATAACGAATAATTTATTATTTTTAGGCTGTCTCGTAAGGTATTTTAGTAGATATTGTAATATATTTTTATAGAATGCTTATAGGAACAATACAAGAAATTAAAGAAGAAGAAACGTCTTAATACGTAATAATAAGTATCATATAAATTAACGAACCATCATAAAGTAACGAATATTTAAATAGAAGAGGAAAATCCTTATTTAAATTAGAATTATTGCATTCGTTATGGCCGTCGTTATTTTCCTGTTAGACTAACGATAGACGAACGACGTTATATTTCCGTTTAACGGCGTTAATGTACATTTTGATTTAAAATCACTTTTTAATATTATTTATGGTAATACGAGAAATAATGGTATGGTAATTTACAATGTAAATTAAGTAAATAATGAATATAGTTTAAAAAACAGTCAAGGCTGAGTGTTTAGAGCCGGTTAATTTTAAAGGACACTGTGTCTACTCATAAGAACGATATACAGCAGTGTTGAAATACGATAATTGCTATGTAATATAATGTGACACTATTAATGGTTGCAAAATAATCACTTACATTATTATTATGTTTATATCTACATATAAGCATAGTTGTTAATTCATAATATATTGTGAAGTAACCTCATAATAACTGCAAGTGTTGATAAAAGTATAATTACAACATGATAAAAATAACTTACATTGCAAATCTTCAATGTTATGATCTACTTCAGGTAACAAATGCAGGAAGGTGGTAGACAGCAGCACTCCCCCTCCAAAGGAAAGTAAAGTCATCACAACTCTGTTCTGTGATTTTAGATTTCCGGCATCGTTAGGTGTAATCCATCGGAACCATTTCGATAGGAATAATGGGGAAATACCGCAGATCATGGAAGCACAGAAGAGAACCGCCATCGCGACCCCTTTTGCAACAACGACTTCACTAGTATCATCTTCGTGATCATGATCGTCATTGTAGCCTGTGTAGTTAAGGAGGTTTTCCATTTTCTATTAGGTCGTACTTCTTTAAAGATTCACAGTAGAATTGGTCTGCATGAAATACACGTGCTCTTTTATACCCTAATGCGGTATCAGCGATATGCGCGTGCGCCGGCTTAGAGCGACGCGCCAGTACTATAGCCGAGAACGCTTCAGTTCGTTCCACTCCCTTGCAGCCTGCGGACAAAGCCTTTAGTCTGCCAAAAGCCTCAATTAACATGTTTAGTATTTATAACATGAGTTGTACATTTACTTTCTTAACGTTTAAGCAAAAATGACGTTTTGAAGGTATACGACGAGTACTTAGTACGTTAGTTCCATAAATTTGTTTTAAAATAGATAACTATTTAAAATTGCCCAATTTTGTTGATAGTTTATTAATTGTAAAGTCATATATTGATAAGTTATAACATTACAAAATGAATATTATAGAATTTAAAGACATAGAAAAATAAAAAAGCCACTTTTTTAACTTTTTGTACTTCTCGAATGCCATTCAGAAGTTATTTAACATTATTATCATCAAGTAGATCATGATATCTAATTTTTAACAAATGTCTCATAATAAAACAATTATTATACTTCTTTTGTGCAGTATACATCTAAAATAGGTGAAATAATGTTAGAACATCAATTTATAAAGAAAAAGACAATTGTTAAGTCAAATATATTTTTGATTACACACTAAGTTGTAGAAGAGAGGCTGCACAGATTTATGAGTTTTTATTAAAATACTTATCATTCACTTTGTACAATTCCTTCGAAAAAAATCCAAAAAGATAGTTTTATTTAAAATGTCATAATATACTCGCGTGAATCCAAGCAAGTTAAGTCATTTTTCAATATATTTTTTTAAATTACATGTACAGACTTTAATTTTATTTATAACTTTATATAACTATTTTATTCTGAAAGTAAGAGCTAGGACGAACGACGACCAAATCACACTGGTCCCAAAACTTTCGTAATTTTCTATAATTCTAAACTTTCACAAATACTAATTAGATTTCGCCTGGGAATAATAATATTAGCATCAATTAAGATAATCTAATACAATTACAACTCAATATTAATTATAAATAATGTATTGGTAGATAATAGATTCGAATTATAAGGTTCAAAGAAGGTGTTAGATGTTAATTTTGATTAGATTTCAATAATTTTAAATTAAAAAAAAAAACTTTATTAAAAAAATGGCGACTGACGTTAAGGTATAACGTTGTTCGAAGCTATACTTAAGTTATCTACTTTTATAATATATTTTTTATATATTTTGTTTAACTTTAATGATTCTTCAAATGTATGAATAGAATATAGATAATTAAACCAGAATTCCAATTTAAGGTTTTTGACCTCTTGATGCCAACATTGCGTAAAAGGCAGTTTACTTCTATTTTAAACTTAATATTAGATTTAATTATCAGTACCTACTTTAAAATCAACGCAACTTTAGTACACTTAATAAGAGTATCCTACTACTGAAATGTTTTTTTAAATATAGAGATCAGAAAAAATATTGATGAAACAATATTATTTGATTATCGAGTACCTTTATATTTTAATTGTACCAATCGACTTAAATTGGCAAATTCTTTCTTTATTTCCATATATTTTTAGGAAATACATGACCAAATGTCTTTATAAATAAAATTAAAAATTTAATTGTAATTTTACAAATTGAATTAGAATATAAACAATTTACATTTCAAGCTAAGTTTAACAATTAATATAACATTGAATGAATGTAATTCTCAACAAAATATTGGTACAAATTTTTAACTCATACGTGCGAAATCAAACAAGTTAAACAGGTAAAAAATGTACATAGCTGTGGATGAGGTAAACAATTACTAGTACAAAATCCTTTTAGCTCTGCAAACACCTACCCACACTTTAATTTATTTTAGTGTGGGAGATAATGTTTTAATGTTACCAGATTTATTTTTCTCTATATAGAATCTATTTTCGATTTAAGACTGACTGACATAAACATAACACTGTAAATATTGACAAAGTATTCTATGATGATCATGATGATGTTCTCCTAGCCGATTCCGGCTACGGCGGCCAATGTCATTGAGACTTGCCAACTGCGCAGGAGATATTATAGTGCACAAGTGTACGCGCAGACACAAGTGCACTCTCTATTTCTGTCACTCTCATACTCCGGTGGGACGACTGCTCGACACAACAGGACAGTGAGACAGGACCGACGGCTTTACGTGCTCTCCGAGGCACGGGGGTGAAACACCGCCAGCTTCACAACTCCGGGCTGTTACTGACACTTACTATACAGAAAGACTCAATAACTAAACATGGCCCGACCCGAGACTCGAACCCAGGACCTCCGAGTGTGCAGCCGTACATGCTAGCCACTACACCACCGAGGCAGATAGATAGAAAATATTCTATAAAATATCATTACATATGACAATATTATTTACATTAATTTATTTTTACTGGCGAAAAAACTGCACTAAACAATATTTTCCTGTAGCTATTTGTTCTGTAGGTTAATATGGAAACTTTTATTACTGTTTGCTTTCATGACGCTTTGACTGGATTCTTCTTCAGTATTAACTTGGGGACATCCCTGTTTAGTTTACTGCCTACATTAATTTTTTTTAATATGACAAATGAGTAATTTACAATTTTAAAATATTTTATTATTTATTTTATTATTACGCAAAAAAATAATTTTATATATAATATTAATGCAATGTAGTATTGTAATAAAAAATCATCTACTTCTCAAAACGCTTACACAGGTTATACTCGTATCATGATATTGTCGCCATGATCTTGATTTGTCATCCGGAACAATGGTCTTATAACAATTATTGCGTTTTTTGTGCTCAAAAAATATAAAAACATAACTTAAAATAAAAATTAAAAAAAGTATTGACAAAAATAAAAAAAACCTACTGTGTAAAAAGCGAACTAAAAACAATTTATTTACAGCTTTTTAGTTTTGGTCAGTTAGACATTTTTAGTTTTATTTAACAATTTCTCATCCTTAATTATTTTGATACATATAAGTTGTATCTATTCATATTTATAATCACCTGTTAATGTAGTCAACAAGTGCCTCTGTGGTCAATTTAACAAGGAGATAATGCATAATAAGGAAGATCATTTTACTTTTAATTGCTTTAACCCCCGCACCATTTGAGCGGTCCAGCCTCGGGCAAAAAATAAGTTATATAATATTGGGGTAGAATAAGTAATTTTGCTGAATATTCCAATTCCAAATTTCCAGTAATACGAATCAGCTGTACTAATTTAGTATTACTAGTATAGTATTATATTATATAATCAGTATTATATGATCTGTGGTATAGCTCTTGTATTATCGTTACTCTAAAAAATATTATCTGTTAAGAAGATATTGGTAAGAAGATAGTTATTGGTAAGAAGATAGTTAGATATGTATTAGAATAATAAACATAATAATATTTTTTATTTTACTTTTTGCTGCATTTAATTTGTATTATATACATTTTTATTCATATAATTTCAACATTTTGACATCAGAACCTTATTCAGTAAAAACCTCTTTTTGAGTATTAATCCGTAAAAACCGAATAATTGAGATGTTCTAAATTCTCTTAATATCTCTTAAAATACTTATAAAGTAATATTAAAAAATAGTTATTCTTTTAAGACATTCGACTATTTTAAACGACAGAAATACTGGGACACAACCTGCAAATATTCACATACACCTATTATTAGCACTTGCACAAGAAGTGTGTACTTAGTATGTTGAAAGAAATAGCTACAAGAATACTTGACATACTTAACATGCACAGATTTATTTATAAAATTACATTTTTGAAGTTGTTCGAGTTCTGTACTCTTAAACATTCGTTCAAGTAGGATTGGAACCCGCTACCTTAGATTTATTAGATTTTATTTGAAACAAAAAATAAAATTTTCATAGAATATTCTATTTAATATGGCACTCACATACGAATGTAGAGCTTATTTTTACGTATATTTCTGTTAATAGAGTCACATTTATAAATGTATTAAAATATAGCTGCCATATAGTATACCAGTTTCCCTGCGTATATGTATGTATTATATGGATTCCGACCTTTTGTATCTAAACTACATATAAATTTAACTGCCTCGGTGGTGTAGTGGCTAGCATGTACGGCTGCACACTCGGAGGTCCTGGGTTCGAGTCCCGGGTCGGGCCAAGTTTAGTTATTGAGTCTTTCTGTATATTAAGTCACAGTAACAGCCCGGAGTTGGGAAGTTGGCGGTGCTTCACCCCCGTGCCTCGGAGAGCACGTAAAGCCGTCGGTTCTGCGCCTTAACTCTCACTGGTCGTGTCGAAGAGTCGTCCCACCGGAGTATGAGAGTGACAGGAATAGAGAGTGCACCTGTATCTGAGCGTACACTTGTGCACTATAATATCTCCTGCGCAGTTGGATAGTCTCAATGAGATTGGCCGCCGTGGCCAGAATCGGCTAGGAGAACATTATCATCACATATAAAGTAATCTAATATTTGAAATCTGAAATGAAAAGATATGACAAAGTGAAAAACAATTCCATTGATTCTGAAAAATACAATAAAAAATATTAAAATATTTTAACTTGATTTGTAGTAATTTAGCGTCTTCTTTTTAATTTGACAGTCAACATTATTTCAGCACGATTACGATGTCTATACTATAATAATAATAATACTATAAAGAGGTAAAGTTTGTGTATTGTGAGTTTGTGACGTTGTAGAAGGTAATCTCTGGATCTACTGAACCGATTCAAATGAAATTTGGTAAGAAGATAGTTGGAAACCCTACGAAGGACATAGGATACTTTTTATCCCGGAAATCATCCCTTAAGGGGGTGAAAATGGGGATGAAAGTTTGTATTGAGAATCATGCTAGGGACGAACCCGAGAGAAGCGAGGGTGAGTCGCTGATGGGTCCATATCCATGCTTCCATATCCACACTATTATTGTAATTAAGAGTTTTTTTTGTAGTTTTAGCGCGAGCGAATAATAATAAAAATAAAATAAATGTTCCGTACTATCTTTGCTACCGTTTAGTATTAGCACGGTAATGTTATGCATACATTACCGTGGTATTAGGGATATAATATATAAAAAATAGAGATTACCTTTATACATATATGTATAATGTATATCTTTATGGAAATAAAGCCCATAAATTAGGATTTAGGTGCGAGCCTAATGAATCAGTCTGA